AGGGGAGCCTGGGAGGTGGTGCGTGCCGGGCTCTGATGGCTTTCCTGGGGTGCTGCTGAGCTGGAAGGGAGGGAGGGAGGGAGACGGAGTGAGGGGGTTGGGGATTTCATGGTCTGTGGGCTTGGCTTGAAGGTGTGCTGGAAGGATACCTGCTTGCAGTTAGTCATACTCGTAAGCTGTGTTTGTATCTTCATTAATTCATCCTTTTTTCCATGTGAGGGAGAAGTGTGTAAAAACAAGGGTGGCACAAGGTTGCTTTTTACGTATAAAATTTCCTCTGTATGAAGCTATTCCTGTGGAGACATAAAAAGCAAATCTACAGTGTAGCTCAAAATTGCACGAGACCTGATAGTGAAAGCTTCAGCAAAAAGTGAAGGACACTACCTGTCTTCCCAGTGAAATATTTTTATATCCGCTTTATTAGGCGTTTCAGCTTTGTTTCTTTCTGGTTGGGATTAGTTGGTAAGTGAAAAATCCCTGCAAGGAGCAGAAACACTGGCAAGTGAAAGTGAAAGTAGTGCACAACCAAACATTTTGGAAAGCTGATGGGGTTAGGATAGACTAGGAGCCCTGGATCTCGGCAGGAGAGCCAGCAGGGGTTGACATACATCTATGGAGTGGGGAGAGTGGGAAGAGGGAAGAGGGATGGGGGGAGCAATAGAGGAAAGCTGCCTGGAAACATAATCCCACCCCACTCCCTTGCTTTCCTCCCCATTTCCCCTCTGCCCCCTCAAATCCACACTCCATATCCACAAACATCAAATTATTCCGCTGCCACAGCAGCAGCACGCTGCTGTGCAGAGGGGAGAGAAGGGGCAGCCACATCCAAAATAACCTTCTGGGACTGCTGGATCTCATGAATCTCCTGCAATGGGATTTGAGAGAAAAAGAATCGGGAGCATTTTTCTAGGAATAGGCCTGGCTGGTGTTGCTGTGTGCAAAGAGCAACCGTGGTCTGGAGACAGCAGTGGAACAAGCTATGGCTGTGAAGGAGACTTGGGTCCTTCCTCTCTCTTTGTTCTGGCAGTCCAGAGGCTGCCAAGCCTTTGTTTGCAGACCTTTGTACTGTAACCAGCTCTATAAGGGAGCTCCTCCTATAATGATTTCCTCTGATTAGTCTGCTCTGAATACCCATGATCCCTGCCAAAGTGTGAAGGGCGTCAGAGCCGGATAAACGATCATTTCCAGTTTCTGTTTGAATACTGTGTTCAAATCCTTTGGGCAGCCACAGACCCTTGCAAATTCCAGAGCAGGCAGGTGGGCAGGTCTCGGTTGTGTGCACGTGCTCCACAATAGGGTCATGTTGTAGGAGCAGCGAAGTGATGAGATGCATAGAAAAATGTTGGCTGGGTCCAAAACTGGGACACTCAAAAGAGGCTGAAGCACAGCAGCGAGCAAAGTAAAATCCTCTGAATTTGAATTATTGGTGGCTAAATCTTTCAGCTTCTTCTCTTTGCAGCTGCTGTGTCTCCGGGGGAGAGTGCAGAGCAAAGACTTTGCTAGCAAGTGATTTTTTTTTTCTTTTTCCCCTCCAAGGAATTTGACCTTGGCTGGCTGCCAGAGGCCCACCCAGCCGCTCTCTCATTCCCTCTCCTCAGCAGGACAGGGAGAGAAAATAAGATGGAAAAGTTCACAAGTTGAGATAAAGACATGGAGATCGTTGAGAAAACCAGACTTGACTTGGGGGAAGTTAATTTATTGCCAATTAAAATGTATTATTTTATTATTTTATTATCTATGATTCTATGATATTGGGATGGTGAAAAACAAACCCAAAAATTAGAACACCATCTTCCCCCATCCTCCCTTCTTGCCAGGCTCAATTTCATTCCTGACTTTTCTGCCTCCTGCCCTGCCCCGCCTCCTTCCCTCCCAAAAGCGACACAGGGGTGATGGGGAATGGGTGTTGACCTCAATCCATAAGAGTTGCCCTCTGCCACTCCATTGTCCTCAAAAATTTCCCATGCTCCAGCATGGCTCCTTTTCCACAGGCTGCAGACCTTCAGGATAAGCCTGCTCTGGCACGGGGTCCTCTGCATGGACTGCAGCTTCCTTCAGGGTTCTTCCATGGGCTGCAGTGTGGATATGTGCTCCACCACGGTCCTCCACAGGTTGTAAGGAGACAATCTGCTTCACCATGGTGGTCTCTACGGGCTGCAGGGGAATCTCTGCTCCAGTGCCTGGAGCATCTCCTTCCCTCCTTCTTCATTGACCTGATTGTCTGCAGGCCTGTTTCTCTCATATTTTTCCTCATTTCTCACTGCTGGGCAGTTTTCTCAGAGGTGCCACCAGCTTGGCTTGGCTGATGGGCTCAGCTGTGTCCTGCATTGGAAAAGATGTTTCTATCAGTGCCTTCTGAAGGCTCTCTGACTTCTGCAGCTGATCATGCACTGCCTAGAAGCCAAATCTTACTCCTGTTAGCCAAGTGACACCACCAGCCTTTGTGTAATGAGCTGAGTTTATTGTGTCAAGTTGTATTTTCTTACAATGAGTGTTTTACAGAGTCATATTTTAGAGAAAGACAGTGACCTGGGTCTAAGCCAGAGAGGTCAGTGTCACTTCTGTGATGCTTACCATGCCCCATAAATGTACAAACATCAGTTCCTCCGTTCTGGGCTAAACCACACTTCCTAGGTGGAGGGGTCTGACCAGCTTTGGAAAAGACCCAGACTTCAATCTGAATTTCTTTTCTGATCTTAGGGCTAAAGAAGCTGCCAGGCGTTGGTCAGCCTGTGGTGTCTTCCATCTGCTTCCGAAATGGAGTATGGCTGGTATTGGCTTGACGATTCTGGAGAGTGGATTGAGTACGGGGAAGAGGTGAGATCCATCTGCTGTTGGTGGCAAAAGCTCTTGTTAAGCCATCTTCAGAGAGTTATTTAGGGCACGTTGTCCAGCAACTGGTGTGTTTCACATATGCTGCTGGGTGCCCTTGCAATGCTGCTCTGAGGCCCTGGTGGGTTTGTCACAGTAATTGTCCCTCAAAGCGGTACTGCTACTCTGTGAAACCTTTCAAAGGACTGGCTGGGAAAGTGGGTGCGTTTTTTAGAGATGATGGATGTTTTCTGGTAGGAGCTGACCACACAGGGTGAAGGCTGCTTTGTTGCTGTTGTTACAAGCAGCTGTTCTCTGTGGGATACTGCTCCGTTGTTGAAGAACAGAATGCTTGAAGCCTTAGAGACTTAGTTCAACATGGCATCCCCTGATAGGGGCCTGGGGAAACACTGGTATTTCTCCACAGTGTCACCTAAATCAAAGACTGGTTTCTAACAGGTATAATTTCCTTGTTCTTCCTATAGCATCCAGATCACTGCTCTGCCACGATAACATCTGCAAATCTGGAGAAGGAATATCTAGCTGACCATAAAGGCATTGTGTTATTCAGGGCTGGTTCTCAGAAGTATGAGTTAAACTTTGAAGGTGAAGTATCTCCTTGATTTAAGTTCATTACACAGTGTAGCTGGCTCTAAGGTAGCCTCCGTACAGTGTTGTCACCCTATGTCTGGGTTTCTTTGAACAGGTCGTTTTCCTTCTGTAAGTTTTCTTTGAGCAGAACTTGAGCAGTTTGTACGTTTCTCTGCAGTTTTGAGATACTCTGCTCGAGCCTCTGGACTTGCTCATCTATAATAAAAAAAGCATCTCTGACAATATTATATATTCAGAAGAAGAGCTGAGAGTAGACACTTCATGGCATCTGGCTTATGCATTTGGGTTTATACAACTAAAGAGGAGAAATGAGAAAGGGGGAAAAAAACCCAACTACTGAAAAGGCAAATGGTGAAGTGAGCCTGTGGGAGACATCTTGCAACTAGCTATGGGGAGAGAAAGCGCACAGTGCAGCAAAGGAAAATTTAGGGCTGGTAGTACAGAGAGAGAGAGAGTGGGAAAATGGGAAATGCTTTTCTGTTTCTAATTTATTTACCCATCTTAAAATTCCTGTTGGCTTTCCAAATTTTAAATCTGTTTCCTGGCATGAATAAAGAGAGTGGTGTCTAAAGGAGGAAACAATGGATAATTAGCCATGTCACACAGCGTGTGCTCTGTGATATTGTTACAGGACCAAGACGAGAGGACAGACTTTCCTCTTAGCACCACGTAACAACCCCGTGCTGCCGGGAAAGCTAGATTTATGACCTCCACCATATTGAAAACTCTTCCCTGCTGTAGGCCTGACATCAAATGTGGTTTTCTCTGGCCGACAGCCTGGATGTGAATGCATGTGCAGGTGCAGTTCATGGTTGGTTGTCTTTCAGCTTCACAACTTATGCTAGCAGGTGTTTGACCTCGCTGATCTCCAAGCAGAAGAAGCACAAGTGGGAACAGTTTCAAACCATGGAGCGGGGTGGGCATGGTAGAGGAAGCACCACCACGTGATATTCAGGGCTACTTCCTTTTTTATCTTTTACAAACACATAAAAGTGTGTCCCTGGACCATAAATGATCTAATTAAGTCATTGTGTTTTTCTTTCAAGACATGGTCCAAAGAAATTTGATCTTTGAAACTCAAAGAAAAGTTGTCCGACTGCCAAAATTTCTGTCCCCTCAAGGTGGAAAAGACAGAAGGTAATACGTATTCATTACCCAATAATGCCTCTAGATGACAGCACCTTTCTGCTAAGAACTTCCTCCTACCTGTTTAGAATGCAATCTTAGATTTCTTAAATTAATTTTTAGATACCTGTTGCTGGCTAGTTTAACGGCAAATTTTGCAGTGACAGTGTTTGTACATTGTGCAACACTTCTGTGAAGTGTGCTGGAGAGACGTTTGGTGGCAGTATCTGGCAGCTGTGAGAGACCCCTCGAGTAGATTTGTTCTTTCTGTGAGAGCAAGGCCACACAGGGCTGACACAACTGTGCCAGGAATTTTTATTCTTGATTTATGCCCCAACAATACTAAACTGTGCACAGAGTAGGAGCCAGTCCCAAGAACTGCCAGTGCCAAGAACTGTGGAGCAGATAGATGCCATCCCCTGGAAGGCTGATGGTAAACTAAAACACAGAAGCAAATCCCCCTAAATGAAGTGAACTGGATGCACTTACTTGAGATACCCTGTCTTATGGCTTTTTTAGAGAAAGTTCGGCTTGACAGAATTTGAGCATATCTGCTGTAAATTTAGTGGTGCTGCTGCTTTGCTTTAAGAAGAGCTTTCTTTGCTTCAGAAACTCACCAGCAGACAGTGCGTTTTAAGCCAAGGGTTCAATTCAAGGGTTATTTCAACCAAGGGTGGGTTGATTCAAAAAGAAAACAAACCTTAGCTCCTGAATGGATGCTAATGCTCCTAATGCATGCCAGGAGGGCTTAGTGCTGGAAGCTGTTGCGCACTGATGGGTGCAGTAAGGCCTGCAGGGCACAGCTGTCCACCCACAGCCTCCTGACAGACTTGGTCCTGGGGATGGATACAGGCAGACCACCCGTGTGCCCAGCGATTTAGAGATGAGTGGGCAGGTGGAGGGAAGAGGGCTCATGCTCCACTTTCCTAGAGGTTCAAGCAGCACGCATGGAGGGTCAGCTGGAGCAGTTGTATAAACCACCTGACTAGGAGCATGTTACTTCTCATTTGATGCTCTCCTACCTGTGTCTTGACCCGCCAAGGGATGCATTAGTGCCACCAGGATGTGTGTGGAAAACTAAACTGGAGAAAGGAATAAGGCTTATGTGGAATATAAAACAAAAAATTCTGGGGATGCCTGAAGGCTACTGTACAGCCAGCAGCTGGATCCTCTGGAAAGAGGATTCAAGTTAAGAGTATCATGGACTGACCTGCTTCTTTTTCTTTTCTTCAGTCAAAACATGACTCTATCATGTTCTGTCTGTCCTCCACAGTGGGACCAATCTGCACTGCCTGATATCGGGTTCAAGGTAAGTCTTTCCAGTAGTCCAATGGGTAGGGCAAACTGTCCTATACTGATTTTTCTGAGAACATAACCCAAGGCACTTGAGATGTTCTCAGCTTTTAAACATGCCTTACAAAATCAGCAGCTATGAGGTGAAACAAGACTGATAGTTTCACATTCAGAATAGATCTGTCTCTCCTGGGAGACTCTCTGAGATCCCCCTGCATATACCACGCAGGATAAGAAAGACCCTTTTGACCATTACTAGTCTCACCTGTCCTTTGCACTCTCTCAAAGTGTCTGATCCTCTGATAAACTGGATCAATTGCATCATAATACAATGTAGTATTTCCTCCACTGATTTGAAGCAAAATGTTTTATTTGCTGTGATAAAATTAGGGCTTAGCCCTGTAGAGAAGGAGCGAGAAGGAGCTAAGGTGTCAAATTAAGGTGAAACTGATATTCGCTCTTCTCCAGCCTGAATACTGCTGTGCATTTCATCTTTAGGTTACTCTGAAGTAAAAATAATCTAGATGCAGAGGTGTGTCCACCAAAGGAAGCTCACATGGGATTGCATTGATTTCCCTCAGTCCATGCCTGCACTTCTGGCATGGGGAGTGGGAGTGAAGGCGGGGAGAGGATGGTTAACTGGAAAGACAAGAGAAGCTTGTGGCTTTTCTTCTGATGTGAGGAGGTCGAGGAGTCCTTTGGAAGGACTGGGAATCATTAGTATCAGTAATACCTTATTTTTGGAGTTTTTGAATTTTTCAGTTGGTAGACCTCAGCTACACTTCCCATGAATATGGAAAAATTAAGAGGCTGTTTGAGAAGACGATGAAAGATTACTGCATCCAGCAACTACATAGGATCCAGAACCCAACACTTTGGCAAGTCTTTCAGTGGTTTGTATCTATTTTATTTCATTATCCTGATGGTAGCAGAAGACTCACATTTCCTGATCTATTGTCCTCCACAGTCTGCATTAGGAATTGCCAAATCCAGCAGCCCAGCAGAGATGTGACTGCCACGTATCTGCGTGCCCGGGTCTGGCTGGTATATAGTGAGGTTCTGCAGGTGTTCCTGGTAGGCGCACAGGCGCAAACACACCCATACACACCAAGCGTGTGAGTAGGCACGCAGCTGGCCACAAAAACCAACACAGACAGCACAGCACTCGTGCAACCATAAGCAGCACCAAAGGCTGCATCCTGTTCCTTTCCTCCAGCTGACTAGGATGAAAGCCTGTTTCTGGAACATACATACATGTATGAGTCCCTCCAGGAGCTGGTCTTAGACACTCAGCCTACCCATGTGCTGGCCTGTGGATTCTGTTGTCTCCAGTTATGTTCTGCAAAGACGCACACACATGCAAATGGATCTCTATAGACTTCATGGTGTCTGTCTTCAGTGGTGTGGACCTCCTGGTCCCGCCAGTAAGCAAGCTCAGACCTTCTGGTCTCTCCAGCATTTGGCCCAGATGTATGACTGCTCCAATACCTGACCCCTCACCAGCTGTCCAGCCTTGCACTGTCTAGCAATCGAACTCTCACTTGTTGCAGTTATTGATGCTATGGACAGGCAGCTCCTGTCACCCAAGGGTACCCACTCCAGTTGCTGCACCCAGACCCCCACACAAGCATATGCACATAAACTTGGAGAGTCCATCACCCAGGTAAGAGTAAGAAATGGAGTTTAATGAGAAGATAGGGCAGCCTGTGCTAATCAGGCACAGGGCATGGCCAGGCAAGCCTACTGACCAGCCAGTTGCCTGTTTATACACAACCAGCCCTTTTTACCCCCTTATCCATCTATTTTCCCATGTTTGTTCCTCCTCTGACCATCTTGATGCCTCCCTTCTCCTACCTACAGCTCCTCTGTTAAACATCTCATTATCAGTCCTGTGCAATCCCCAAATGCTCTTACCTGCTGTCCAAGAAAGGAGTCTCATACTCTCGCAGGCAGTACCCTGAGTCTGTCCATGAGCTGCTCCAGAGCCTTTCCATTGCTCCTGGTGCTGGATGTCCTCTGGTCCCTGGGGCTGAGGCTCCCCTGAGGCAGCCCTGGGACAGGCTGGGGCTGGGGCTCCTCTCCCTGTGATTGGGTCACTGAGGTTGTCTCTGGTCTCTTTTTAACCACATAACCTAAAAGGTTGCATGTGGGGTTCTTGTTAGTGTTATTCAAAAAGAAAGTTCTTTTCCTTCACCATGACTGAGCTGTGGTATCTCAAATTTATTCTTTTTGTTTCTTAGACTCTTCTACATGGGCTTTTTAAAATATTAGTAATTTTTATGTGATAAAGATAGGAGTAGAGATTATACAATCTTCACTGTGGCTTCATACAGCTCAGTTTTATAACCATATTTATGCATTCAGGATTTATATAACCTGGGATCTGACCAATTCCCATTTGAGAGATGTTTGTCTCTTTTCTCTCTCATGTGGTATGAAGTTGTGGGTGACACAGTCCATAGCGATGTTGAGAACTTTTTTGTTTTGCTGGAAGGAGACAGCTGTGCAGCAGGGTACCAAGAGAAGTGCAAAGCAGGCAGTAACCCCACTGAGAGTGTTTTGTGTCACTGTTCCTTCATGACCCAAAAGTAGGAGGAGCTGAGTTGGGAAATTGTCCTTGTTTGAACCAGGGTAACATGTCATTCTTTGTGGTTTTTTTTTTTTTTTGGTCCCTAGGCAAAGGGAGCAGATGAAGAAGCTCAATAAATTAAAATCAGTGGATGAGCGGCTCCTGTTCCATGGGACAAGTCCATCCCACATGCCCGCCATCTGTGAGCAGAACTTCGACTGGAGGATCTGTGGAACTCATGGGACAATGTATGGAAAAGGTAAGAGTGCAGAAGTGTAGGTCCAGGGGCTGCAGCAGCATGGACTGCAGACCCCAGCTGGACTGATGAATGGGTGCGAGGTGACTGACTGTCCCTGACTCCTGCACTCCTGCCTTTAGGGCACTTGTCACCTGTGTGCCTCTGCATCGCTGCAGGCAGCATCAGCAGCAATTCCTTTCCAGGAGGGGCTAAACCCACCTCTCTTTGCCTCAGATACCTGCTTTTCAGTAAAGCTCTTGGACAGGTGGGACTGGGAGGTTGGTGGCAAAATGTGGCTGGAGGCTGTGAATGCTTTAAAATAAGCCGATGTGGAAACATCTGGTGAGGATGTGTGTAGAGCTAACTGGGGCTGCCAAAGTGCCAACAGCAGATGTGCGTTCCTCGCTTGATGTATTGTCTTACCTGTGGCTTTTCCTGGTCCGTAGGAAGCTACTTTGCCAGAGACGCCTGCTATTCTCATGAGTACTGTTCTTCTCGTCATGGTCGCTACAGCATGTTTGTAGCTCACGTTCTTGTTGGAGACTTTGTTCAGGGAAACCCCGAATACCTTCGCCCTCCACCCAGACCCGGTAATCCAAACAGACTTTACGACAGCTGCGTGGATGACCCGACAGACCCTTCCATCTTTGTCATCTTTGAGAAGCACCAGATTTACCCTGCCTATATCTTGGAGTACAGCAGTGAGGCCCACTGTATGATCCTGTAACGAACGGCGGAATCTCCTTTGAATTTACACTGAATAAATTACACTTTAGTACATCTTTTTTTAACATTTGTTCCATTTCAGTAGTAGCTTGAGAACATTTTGTAACATAGCGAACAGACATCAAACCCCTGAAGGATTGTGGGGCATAGTGTTTCGGTAGGAGCTATTTTTTGCTATCAGCAAGTACTAAACTTTAATCTCCACTTTATCTCTGGCCTGGGATGGGGGTGTACCTGCCTTGCGTACCCTGATGCAACAACACCTTCTGCTGCTGAAAGTGGCACCGCTGAGTAAATGATTAACTTGATCCGCTAATACAGTCACTCAGGGACGATTCCTGCCTGTGATGGTGCTGTTGTGCCAAAGGGAGACTGGGAGGGGAATGCAGAAGAAGGGAAAGTGAAAGTACCTACATCATGGTGCACAAGACAGGAATCACAGTCTGTCCTTCCAGTAAACCGCAGGAAGCTCCTGCGCCCTGGAGGCTTTGTAATAAAAGCTGGCAATGAGCTCTGCTTTGTTTCCTGGTTGCTGACAGCTCTTCTCACTTTGTTCTTCTATGTCAAGTCTGCCCATCCCCAGTCCCCATGACACCTTGTCCTTGTCTGTCCCCACGGGGTTTAGGTCAAGAGAAGCAGGGATGTGGCAGCTGCTGAAGGTAGATTCCCACTACGCCAGGACATTAACAGCGAGGAAGTCCCTGGTGAGCTGAATAATGGCACATGGCAGCGTCCCACCAGGGCTGCAGAGCCAATGCTTGCAGCAGTGAGTGGTGAGGCAAAGGGGCTTTGCCAGCAGCTGCCCCTCTTACTACCCTGTAGACTGAAGTTGGTGGTGACTATTTTCTTGCCCTGCTGCTGCCTGGCACCTCTCCGGGCGATTGAGAAGTGCCCCAGCAGCGTGCGCTCCGGCTGGGATGGATGGGGGAATGCTTGGATGATGCACATAGTATGTGAAACTTGGTGGATGGTGGGATAACGTTCAGGATAATACAAAAATTAACAGTTTATTTTAAAATAGTCTTGCTATATAAGCTGTTGTAATTCAGCAAATGAGTCACAAGTGGCTCAGTTGTCCGTGAGTGGGAGGAACCCAGAGTATGGATGTGTGTAGGATCTCATCAGCTTTCCCAAAGCCTGCTATCTTCAGGCACAATCAATGTCCTTAGAAAATGTCAGAAAAGGAGCTGACTACAATGAGTCCCTGAGGTGCCATATTTAGTGTGGTCTCGTGTCCCATCTCTTGTTATAGGAAACTGGAGCCTAACGGTTGTTCTCTTGCAGATCAGTGATCTAATCCTGTCAGCCACAGGTGAGCAGAGAGCTTTCTGTGCCATCAGGAAGCAATGGTGAAAGTCACTTAAATTGACTTTTTTCTCGATATGAAATATTTTTTTAATTAAAAAAACCCGAAGCAAATGGCAGCAAGTTGTCTGCCTCACGTCTTTCTCAATAAGTGGTGTACAACAGTTAATTGCTTTTCCGTGCTACGAAGAGCACTGCATTGGAAAACTGCAGTGATTTTGGAGAGCTCTTTGCCTAGGATTTGTCAGTTGTCATAGATCTGCATCATGTGCTTTGCATAAACATGAGTATGGGCATTATTTGTAGAAATAACAGAGTCTGCTTTAAGCTGTTAATTTCATAAATAGATGGGATTATATAGAGATAGGACTTGCTGCCTGGCCGTGACACCCCACGGGTGCTATACACGGGCAGCCTTCACCTTGCAATCGCCCTCCCCTTGTTGCCTTCAAGCTGCAGACTCCTGAGGATGGGAAGGGACTGAATAATACACGTTTCCAGCTGTTGGTCTGCCTTGGTCCTTGTGACATTGTGTAAATTTGCTCCATGGCTTCATCAGCTTCTGGGGGGGTTGTGTGTGCAGCCTTTGGGCAGGACAGGAGCTAGACGATAGAAGGTTTGGGAAGAGTTTCGCTCTTAGAGAAAATGCTCTGTGCAATGATGCCCTTGTACAAACCATCTTCCCCCATTCTTCTCCGCCACGACAGAAGAAACCATCCGTCGTACGGGAGATAGCTGTTTACAGTAAAGTGGACTTCAGGGTGTGACTGCCAGCCTTCTCGGGGGCGGGAGAAGGTAAACGAGAGCCTGCTGAGGGGCAGGCCAGACACTGAAAAAGGGAGTTTTGTTGTTCTGAAACCGAGGAAACTGGGCAGAGAGGAGGTTGGTGGCAAACATGCAGAGATCAGAAGAAAAGTAGATTTATTTCTGACTGCAGGGAGAGTTCATGCAACCTTCAGCAATTAGGGGCTGGGTATTATATTGAGAAGATCGGGCGGGGGGCTGGTGTATGCAGCTGTAGCGGTGCACTGTGGCGTGGGGCTGCTGACGTGCAGCTGCTGTTGGCTTTGCAGGTGTTGGAGTACCAGCTCTGAAACAGAATCACTCCTCGAGGAGCCTGTGCTATTTCAGGGTCACTCTCTGTGACTCTCAGTTTGTGCCACTGCCAAAAGGAGCAGCGCCACCTCCCCAGTGTGTGTTGTTGTCGCTTTCCCCATGCCACTGATAGTGACCTTCCTGGGGTGGGGAGGATCAGGTGCAGAGCATTCATTTACTTGAACACTGACCTAGCCAAAAACTCCACAAATCCCAAAACTAAAATATGACGTTCAGCAAGAACGGTTCCCAGTTCTAGTTATGTCAACACTGATAAAGAAGCAGGGGGCTGCAGCATTAGCATAAGATGATAGAGAACCTCTAGCTCAAGCAGAGCTTTGAACAGTGAAAGATTTGGGAACATTTTGGTTGGTAAGGCATTGAGAGCAGAAACCACTAGTGAAATTGAAAAACAAGTTAGTCTGTGAATACTTCTTCATGGGAGTTTTCTTCAATATTATAAATCTGCTAAAAGTTCTTCTAGACCTGAACCTCCCAGTACCTCTGGAGTACCTGGATGCCTGAGGTTGTGAACAGAAAGCATTCCTCAGCAATGTTTTAGAAAAGAAGTGCTTGCCAACCATCAGCAACACGTGCAATTGCTGGCAGGCACTAAGTGTGGATCCGATCTGTGGGCTTTTATTTCCCCCTCTCCTAAAAAAAAATATTTGAAGGGCGTCCTATCCTGTTGAGAAAGGATTAGACGACTTTTGATTCAGACGCATGGGACTGACAGTTTTGGAGTCACCAAGATGGTGGTGGAAAAGGTCTGACCTGCAGAACACTCTGAGTAGCCAAACTGATTTCGGTGGCATTTGCTGCCTTCCCTCCCAGCTGCACTGGTGCCAGCTGGGCAGGTGTTGGGGTGGGCTTGTTCCAGAGCCTCCACAGTTCACCAAGCTCCTTCTGCCCAAGGCTAGGGAGTAAAGCTGCTCTCAACATGAGATGAAATGATCAGTTGGTATCTTGGCTGATTACATCTCCACCTTTTGAATACATTCTCTGTTAGGAGGGTGCTGCGGGAACACTTCATCTGCCCTGCCATGGGGAGGTTTTTTGGGGAGGGTGGCAGGTGCAGGGGACCAGAGGGAGAGGGCTCTGCTGTAAGGCCAGCTGCCTCCGCCAGAGTCCCCAGATGCAAAGGAGTTCGCTCAAGTGATCTTTTCAATGTAATACCTTTCTAATTGATTTTCTTGTGGTGCTTTTGTGACTTGACAGTGTCCTTTGTTTTACCTCCATTGGTTACATATTCATGTACCTGTTCTAGACTTTCTATTAAATAACAAGTTTTCAGGTCTTTTTTTAATTTACTGGTGCCAAATTTGACTTTTCAGCATTTTTAAGAATCCTTTTTAACAATTTTGACAGAATTTATTACAGGATGATTAAACTGTAGAAACTTAATGCTTGATTAAACATGCTGAATGGCATGTTATTTTCTAAAACATTTAAGCTCCTAAAAATCAACCTGAGCCCCATAACCTGGTGCTATGACTGTATGGGTGCCAGCTGAAGAAAACACAGATATTGTTCTTGGCATGACAAGCTCAACAATTGCACTATTTAACAGGACTCTGGATCGAGGGAATAACAATCCTGAATTAATGTGTAGCTGTGGTAATGATGAGGGGCTTAGGGTTTGGGGGAGGGCAGGGGTCCTTAGCTAGGGGCTGCAGGAGACATCTGTTAGGAATCAGACTTCCACTGTCCAGGGAACAGCTTTTTCTAATTGTTCCTGTTCTTTTACAGTCCTGTTTCTTTTGATGAAGCCTATTGTCTGGCATGTTGAGCCCTAGACACTATTTTCCAAAACAACTCAAACTGTCTTTCCAAGATTACTTTTACATCTAGCTTACAAATAGGAGCAATAGGAAAGGCTGACCTGCTTCTTACCCATCTGCTCTTAATGACTTAGATTTTTCTTCCGGATCCTTTACTCCAATGTCAGAGGACCCATTAATCGGTGCACCAGTGCTCAACCTGTAAATACTTGAGCAGTGTCTACACCTGATATCCTCACCACTGGAAGAAGCTAAGTCTTTACTCATTCCCAAAGAGAAGCTTTATTTTCACTGTATGTTCCCTGAATCATTTTTCTTGGGCTGTATCTTCATCTTTTGTGTCCTTAATTATTTTTTTTTCTAAAGGATTTTCCCTTTACTAAGTCCTAAGGACTTTATCAACAGAAAAAAATGAACAGAATCCTCTAACAACTTTGTGAGTCCGTGAGGATTGTGAAAGTTGTTGCTCATCGTGGGAAGCAACTCATTGCAGTGGGCAGCGTAAGGGATGTGAACTTGGTAGTCAGGTGATTTGTTGCCACATCTGCTGAGGTTTTGTTGGGGAACCCAGGGAAATTCAGAAGTGTCGACTGAAACATCTTTCTTTCCTTTTTTTTTTCCTCTCCCTTTCATCTTGAGACAATTCTACACTTGTGATCATTCCTGATGCTCACTCATTTGGTGGATGGATGGATGATTCCCTGGATGATGGATCGAGTATGAGAAGCAGGTAAACACCACTGCACCCCTGAAACACAGCTCCAAGTCCCAGTTGCTAGTGAAAAAGTCCTGCTTTGAATGTTTGTTTGTGAGGACTGCC